CTTGGCTGAGTCCCTTATGTTCTGTCAAAAGGGAGTTTTTCCTCCTTTATCCAGATACTTAACTCTGTCTAATGGCCTCCGGTCTTGACTGAGGATTTCTGAAACTCTGGCCATCTCCACTGACCGCAATCATCTCCATCAGCATCAATTTCAGGATGTTACTACTGAGAGTCATTCCCAGTGTTTCTTAACTGGAATACTCTCAACAGATGTAGCACGAAATTTTGGGTAATTATGATGTCATTTTCTACTGCTCCTGAGAATGCATATTCTCACCTTGGTGGCAATCCGATGGCAGGCTGAGCAGAGCTGAGCTGGCTTTTCATGTCATAGGGTTCAGAAAAGGAGACATGGAGATACATGTCAAATGCCTGGGGTGGAGTCCTGGCCAGTGTGGCTCAGTTGTTTGGGCATCCCCCACAAAGCAAAAGGTTGCTAGTTTGATCCCTTGTCAGGGCACATACCTGGGCTGTGGGTTCAGTCCCCAGCTGAAGCAACCAGTAGGTGTTTCTCTCTCACATCGATGTTACTCTCCTTTCTTTCCCCTTTCTCTGAATATAAAGAAGTAAATAAAATCTTTTTTTAAAATCTTGGGATGAAAAGTGTGGGTCCCAGATGAAAGTGAGGACTGGGAGAGAACATGTTGGTCTTGGGTGACTGGAAGGAGGGATGTCATTTAGAAGAATAAGGAACCCACAAGGTGAAGCAGTTGGGGACAATTGGTGATGAATTCTGCTTGAGGGCGGGGTGGCAGCAGGTGGAGTTCAGGAGAGCCCTTGGGACAGGACTGTGGTCTGGGAATCCAGCCGTTGTTCAAACCCAGCAGAGCTACCTTGATTGGTTGCTTCTTTTGCAGCAAGGCTAGGAGTTGTATCCTCATGTACCACCAAGAACAAATCCATTGCATTTTTTCTTCTGGAAGAGCAGCTGTGAGTATTTTGTGCTATTACATGGGTGATGGGAGTCCATCCTCTGTGAAGGGAGCTGGTGCCAGTGATGGGGACACCTCTCTGGCAGACAGCCCCATCATTGGTGTGCCCACTTTGAGTATTTCCTTTCCCCCCTGCTCAGGTGCTTGAGGAGACAATGAACCATAGTAGTAAAAAAAATGCTTTAGAAAGAGTAAATCTACTTTTGAGAACTGTTTCTGGCACATCCCAGCTGTGCAGTCTTGAACAAGTATTTAATATCTTTAGGCATCTCGGTCGCTGACCTTAATTTAGGAATATAGTATGGGAGAATTATTCAGAAAGGTTATGTTCCAAGGGAAATGTATTTATTTCCATTAAAAGACTGACATGGAAGATCTGTTTTCCAGGGCCCCACTACCCAACAGTTACTATCCTTTTAGATTGCCACAGGTAAGGGAGATGGGGTGCTGGTGACAGTTGTCGAGGATTTGGTCTTCTTGAAGTAGGAGCTGAGCATTGTGTGGCCCTCAGAGAAGTCTTAAGTGCACTGGAGTTTTACTTCATTTACCTATTATTTTATCACATCTTAATCATTTTATAGGGAACAGGAGCATCAACATGAGAATGGCAGTCTGATGGATTGCTTAAGTCTTTCCCTTTTTATTAATTTATTGGGGTGACATTGGTTAAGATAATTATATAGGTTTCAGGTGCATGATTCTACAACATGTCATCTGTAAGACTGCTTGTCTTAAACAAGAATGGAAAGTCCTTTTCTCCTTAGTTTTCCACAGGTTTTTAGATAAACAACTTTTGACCCAGAAGCCATGTGCAAAGGGGACAGAGTAGGTCAAGAGTCCTGCGCGCAAAGGCTAGGAGGGTGGGTCAGGTCATTTAGTGAGAACTGCTGGTAATGGAAACATTGGTTCATACAATGGAGCGATGTGCTTTGTTCTAACTGAGAGAGTGGCCCCAGTGAGGGTGCCACTGTTGGAAACTCTCAGCCTCAGCTCATGGGCTCCTTTCAGGAATGAAGGCCCACAGTCGGCCCCTATCCTGGTTAATCAAGAAAAACAGCTGACATGGATTTTCAGGTGAAATCACCATTTGAAATATTAGTTGAAATTTGTACAAAATATACTGTGTGGGCCACACAAAACACATATTCCGAACATGTCCTCTTACTGATATATAGTAGGTCCTCAATTTGTGTTTGTCTATTCCACAATGAGAAGATACCCACCTGCTTTAAGCTGCTATTGGTTGAAGACATTGCTGGCAAAGTGGGGACTTAGGAACAGGGTCTGGGAGAGACAGGACTGCTGGCAGAAAGCTGAAGCATGATCCTTGGCTGACTCAGTACTGCAGTTAGAATAGCTGTAAGGACCTTCTGAAATACAAATTGTGCAGAAACCTTTCTGGTTCTGGGAATTAGAAGTAACCAATGAATGGACATTAAAAAGTTGCCACTTAAACACTGGGATAGCAATTGCCATGTACCAGGCCGTTTTCCAATTACTTTAATGTATCAAATCATTTCATCTTTTGACAACCACATGAGGCAGCTCCTAGTATCACTTTATAGAAGAAACAGGCACAGGGTTTAAGTGACTGGCCAAAGTCAAGATTTGGCAAAGCCAAGATTTGAACTCAGGGGTTCTGGCTCCAGAATCCAGGCCCTCACCATTTCTTTCTGCTGTATTTTAATAGGGAGAATTTTATCTAGTAAAAAAATTACATATTTGAAGACTATGTAGAACATGTAAAATTGGTTTATATCAGTTTAAAAATTAGCTGTCAAATTGTATGTTAAAGAACAGTGTATAGAAAAAAGACAAGAAAAAACATGAAAATTATAAATGTTATGCCAGATTGGTGAGTCTATGGATAATTTTTTATTTATCTCGTTGTTGATCTTAACAGTTCTTTTTTACTTATATGATGTTTTAATAATGACTAGACCATTCATGGGCTTGAAAAAATTTTTCCCACTCATCCTTCTTTCTGAATGCAGCCTCCAGCTGTGTCCAAGAGCACTTGCACTCTTGTTTTTATGGGCTGGGTGCGCTGCATTCAAGGGACATGGGCCTGAAGAACTCCTGAGCTCCAGTGATACACAACTCACCTAACTGAAAACTTGACCCACCAGATGGTGGGATCCAGTTCTGTTCACCAGCTAATACAGCGCCCCCATGTGGCAACAGCATAAATCCACTTCAAATCAGCTTTGCAACTACAATTCTTAAGTCTTTTTGAATTAAAGTGATTATGTTGCTTCCATTTTGCACATATCTGAGACTTTATGAATATTTTTTCTTTTAATTGAGTTATTAATACTTGTGAATGAATCACTATTTCAAATTCACTCCAATCTTGCATGAATAGGACTCTAGTCCTCATTGCTTGCTCCAAGCTGATGGATTTCCAGGCCACAAGACAGAGTGTGATTTCAAAGAACATAGCTTAAAACCAACCCCAGCATTTCCCCCACACTCTACTGGGGCAGGCATTCCACTGAAATGTTTGTCGAGCACTTAATTTTGGGGAAAGTACCCTCAACACTAGAGAAATAGGACACTTTCTGTTCCTAAAGAATTTATATCCTAGGGCCCTTAAATGTCCATTTAGTCAGCACATGATTTTTACTGACCATCTACTATGCTATGCCCTGTGCTCTGGAAGAAATGAAGTTTCATTCCTGAGATGTTTATATCCCGTGCCCTGCCTGGGTTCCACCCTCCATTTATGTCCCAACTGAATGACTTAATCCTCCTACGTCTGTTTCCTCCCCAGTAGAAAAGTGACTTCTCTCCCAGGGTGGTTTGGAGGACTCAGTGAGTTAGTGTATGTGAGGCTGGCTGGAAGTTGGTGAGCATTCATTTTGTACTAGATAGGATTATTGCCAGAGACTACTCTATATTGGGTGACTCTGAGGAAACCCTTTTCCCTTTTCATGAAGGCCCCGGCCTGTCTCTGGTTTTCTGGTGCACACAGGGTTACCGTATCTTGGCAGGAGTGGCTTCCCAGCCACATACTTTTCCAAGGCCCTCTGACACCTGCCCAGACACACAGCCTTACTACAGGGCTAGCACAGCCTGACCTCTAACACTGAAGATAAGAAGTCATATCTGGGTTAGAGCCACAATACTGATAACAGTCACGCATGACATGCTGGCCCTTATGCAAAGTCTCCTTGACTGCCTTGTTGACTTCCAAGATCACCTTAGGAGGAAGGTACTGTTATCCCCTACCTCCCAGATAAGGAAGTAGAGGTCCCACAAGATTATATGTAACATTTCTCAAGGCTCATATGTGGAAGAGGCAGAATCAGGCAGTCTGAGTCTTAACCAAGATGTTTATCTAACTGTTGGTAGAAGCAAATTCCACATCTACCAATATTGTGCATATAAAGGTCTAAAAATCAGGAGTGATGGCATAGTTTTGTTAAAAAAGAAAGAAAAACCTATATGGTAATTGCTTGGAATGGACCCTGTTAAGTATGTCACACATATGAACTGATGTAGCTATCATTATTAAGCCCATTTTACAGATGAGGAGGTTGAGGCACAGAGAGGTAAAATAACCTGATTGGCGTTGCACAGGTAGGGATGGTGGGACCAGGCTCACACTCAGGCCTCTATGCTATCCTTCTCCACAGGTAAGTACAAGCAGATAGAGCAGATGACATCCTGTGAACTTTACCTTTATTAATTCATTTTCAAATAACAGGGCGGGGGGGGGCTGGGATGGGAGAAATAGACAAAAAAACTGTACTTGAAAAAAATTCCAGATTTAGTAAGGAGAGGTTTTATTTCCTCCTAAATTTTTTTGCCACCAGCCACTCCTGGCCATCCCTCCAACAGTGTTTCCCCTACCATATTTGGCTCCACCCCAAATTCTCCCTCATCTCCCTTTTTTTATACAGAAGAATTTGTTTTGGCTTCTCTGCCTGTTCCCCATGTAGCAAATTAAGAAAATTCCTCAAGACCCACTCTTGAGAACGTGGACCATCACAAATGTTAAAATTATTAAATAATTTCTCCTGCCCCCTTGGTTGGAACTAATTTGTCTTGCCTTGATACTTTGCAGGTAGTGATTCTGGATTTGGCCATGCTTTGTCCAAGTATCTGGACCAGCTGGGCTTCACTGTGTTTGCTGGAGTTCTGGATGAAAATGGGCCAGGAGCGGAGCAATTGCGAAGAACCTGCTCCAAGCACCTCTGCGTGCTCCAGATGGATGTCACCAACCCGCAGCAGATAAAAGATGCCTACAGCACAGTGGTGCAGAAGGTGCAGAACAGAGGTACTGCCCTCAGCCACCCCTGCCCTGCGTTGCTCTCCACCTCCTTGCAAAGGCCCAACACTGGTTTCAGCCTCTAATTACTGCTGCCCTCTAGTCCATTCTGGCTGCTGACTGCATCTGAAGACACCTATACAGAGCACCTGCCATGTGCTGGGGCCTCTTGTGGACATGAGACGTTAGGAACGAGTCAGGCATGGTTTGTCTTCACAGAACTCACAGAATTCTTTATCCTGTTCACTTCAACATCTGCTCAGTCACTCTTCCACTAATCACCACTTCCCACTGTCTCATTTTTCTCCTCCCACCAATATTGATATGCATTAGACTTAAAAAAAACTCTTTGTAATTACTGTCCTTCCCTAGCCATTGCCCTTTCTCTTTCCATTCCTTCATGGCAAGCTCTTTGAAAGCTTGCTGCCTTGTTTTTGACTTCTTCACCTTCACTCCAACATTGGCTCTCACCGGTCTGGCCAAGCTAATCAGTATTATCCTAAACACCAAGCTCTTAACTTCACTGCACTGTTTAAATGTGGCAGTCACCCTCTCCTGCCTTGGCTTTGGAGTCACCAGCCCTGGTTGCCATTCTAGTTCGCTGATTATTCCTTCTGCTTCCCCTGTCTGAACTTCTTCCTCCCCCTAACTCCCTCATCAAAGTGTAAATGTTACCGAGGGCTCCATCCCCAAACTTCCCACTCCACATTTTTGGGCTATATTGTTATTTCCCTATACCAGGAATTCACACCTGGGTAGTATTTGAAAATATCCAAGTTGGGCTGGGGATGCTACAGATGTTGAGGGGCCTAATGCAAAATTACATGGGTCCCCTTTAGTTTAAAAAACGATTAAGATTTTAAGATGGTGCCAGCAGAGAATTCAACCAAGCATGATGCCCTTCTGATGCACTGGATCCTGTGTGACTGTGCAGGTCTCACACTCCTGATACCTACCCAGCCTGGGAACCCCTCCCCCAACCAATTGCATTGGTATCTGCCTACAATAACTCAGCTAATCTTTCAGCAGTGAGGCTGGTAATGTTGCTATCCTTGTGCTGGGAATGTTAGTGCTAAAGAAGATCCTATGTGGGCATCTAAGTATCAGTATATTTTAAAGCTCCCCAGGGGATGCTAATGTTCAGCCAGAGTAAAGAATAACTGAAATTTAAGCAACTGTGATTTAAGTAACTTCCAAATCTGCATTATCAACCTAGCCCTCTTCTCATTGTCTGGAACTATATGTATATAAAATTATCTATCATATATCTCAAGTCAGTTTGTCAGAAACTGACCTCTGCTGCAAGTCTGTGTCAGTTCACCTTTCTGCACCTCATGGCTTAGGGGCTGGCACTGCCACATTCAGCCAGCAACCTGAAGGTCACTTAGACCTGCAGCTAACCTTGATCCCTGCATCCTATTTGTCTGGAGTCCTGTCGATTCTACCTCCTAGATCTCTATCACTCAGCCCCTTTCTATCATCTCCCACCTGGGCTCCCACAATGACCTTCTTCCCCAATACTTTTAAAGTGCACGTCTTACAAGGTCACCCATCCCCTAAAACCTCTTGGCATCGAGCATCTTCATGTCTTGGGTTCCTCCCATGAGCCAGCTCTGACAAGTGTTTCGCTTCATCTCATTAAATTGTTCAGTGGTTTTCTACCCACCACCAAATAAGTTCTAAACACCTTAAGAAAGATTTGAAGGCCTTTCAGGGTAGTGGCCCCTGCCAAACTCCTAATCTGCAGTGCCAGCTGGTCCACTCAGTAAACTCTGGATAGTTTCCAGAATAGAGTGTGCTAGTTTGTACCTTTGCATATCCTGCTTCCTCTTGCCAAAATTTCCTTCCTGCCTTCATTTCCTTTCTCTAAGGCTCTTCCTTCATCCAACAGCAGACTCACTCCCACAGAAGACCTGGCTCAAACACAACATCGCTTGCGTGACCTTCCTGTAATCCAGGTCACATCATTCACTTCACTCTTCTGGACACTCATGCCTTGCACACCCCTGTATCACTGCATTAAGTACAGTGATCCCTTCCCTATTGCAGAATTACATTCCAGAGATCCTCACGATAGGTGAAAGTCCTCGAAGTAGTGGCATTATTTTAATTATTTATATATTTTTAAGACTTTATAAACCCTTCTCACACTTCTATAAACCTTTCCCACTCTATTAACCTTTCCCACACTCTTATAAACACTTCATATGCTCTTAATCACTTTCTACACTCTTCAACCTACATAATTTTAACAACATGTAAAATTCTATATGGGTTCTCACCAGTGACGTATACAGTCATCCCTTGCTATATCTCAGTTCACTTACTGCAGCTTCACTGTGTCACGGTTTTGCCTGAGACACACGGGACGACTGTGTCTGTCCATCCACCACTCCTCACCACTAGGTTCCTGGAGAACCAGAATCCTGTTTGCAGCAGCATTCTGTCAGACACACATGAGACAACCCACTTCAAAACTGCTATAGCATACCAGAAATATGTTTGCTTATGTGATTGATAAGACCAGCTGGCTTCAGGCATGTTTGGTTCCAGGCACTTCAGCAATGTCATCAGGACTCAGTCTCTGTTTCCTCTATTGGTTTTATTATAGGGCGCTCCATAGAAGCCTCAAACTCTTTCAGCTTATATCTTCTTGACAGCAAAGAGAGAGTAATATTATCTGCCTCATTTGATAGTTAAAGGCATAGTTATTATATAGAGAACACTTAGGAGAGTCCTGGCATGAGGCAAGCATTCAGTCATTCATTCAACAGTAAGCACAGTCCCTGGCAATATAGTCAGTGTTCAACAAACATCCAAAAAATGAGAAGACAAGAGAAAAATAGGTTGTTAGTTATCAGGAATCAATTTTCAGCAAGTTTAGCCATGTGCAGTCATTTTCTAGGAAGGTTGTTTTCCTGGCCTGGTCTTTTGCTGTCTTACCAGGTTTCTCTTATGAGTTTGATTTTATGTGTCGTATTCAAGGAGATATTCAATACAGATTCCTCTAGGGAGGCCTAGAGGGGCAGTACTGACTGTACTGAACATAAAGGAAGGGAAATACCATGCCAGTGTCCAGGGATGAAGGGATACGGAGAGTATACTTTACAAGGTATGAGCCCATGGTACTTGGGACCCAGCACTCTTGGGAGCAATTCTTTTCCGAGACAGAATTACCAATACACCTTTTGCCTGCTCTTCTCAAGGTCTCTATCAACTTCAGCTCTCAGGTCAAAGAGATGTGGAGCAGTAAAAATAGGGGAGTTAAAAATCACCAAGAAGAATGTTTGCTAAAGAACCTTCTGGGACCTGTAGATAAACCAGAAAACCTCTGCTCCTGGAAGAGGGCCAGAGACTGTGCTATGTTCCTATACAACATGTTAATAAATGTGTTAACATATTATTAATTATTAACTAACAGTAACTATTTTAAAGCCCTATAGCTATAATGAGCTTATTGGCTTGTTTAGAATTCTAGGACAAGAGTTGGCAAACTATGGCCCTACCTCATTCTTTTCTTTTTTTTAAACATTTTGAAATAATTGTAGATTCATAGGAAGTTGCAAAAATGTACAAGGAAATACTAAACTCCCTTTGTCAAGACTCAATTTTTTTAAAAAATTATTTAAGAGAAGAGAAGGAAAAAGAGAGGGAGAGAAACATCAATGTGTGAGAGATGTCAATCAGTTGCCCCTCACAAGTCCCCAACTGGGGACCTGGCCTGTAACCCAGGCATGTGCCCTGAGCAGAAATTGAACCAGCAACCGTGTGGCTCACAGGATGGAGCTCAATCCACGGAGCCACACCAGCCAGGGTAAGCCTTTCCCAATATTAACATCTTGTATAAATTATAGTAAAATAGCAAAATGAGGAAGTTGACATTGATATAATCCACAGTTTATTCAGATTTTACTAGCTATACGTGCAAATGTGTGTGTGTGTAACTCTGCAATTTTTTTGTGTGTAGATTTGTGCAAAAAAAATCACCACAAGATATAAAATTGTTCTGTCACCACCAGACTCTCTCATGCTACCAGCTCTCATCCCTGATGCCTGGCAATTATTAATCTGTTCTCTACCTCTTTAACTTTGTCATTGAAAGACTATTATATGGCTCTGCCACCTGTTTTTGTACTGCCTGTGAGCTAAGGATATTTTTACATTTTTCAGGGTTCAAAGAAATCAGAAGAAGAAAAAATTTTGATATATAGATTATATGAAATCTGAATGTCGGTGTCTATACATCAAGTTTTATTGGCACCCAGCAACACCCATTCACTTACATATTGTCTGGCTGCTCTCACAGGATAATGGCAGAGTTGAAAAGTAGGCCTTTGAATACCAAAATATTTACTGTCTGGCCTTTCATAGAAAAAGTTTGCTGACCTCTTCTACACCATTCTCAAGCTGCCATCTGCATGTTGGCAGGTTAGAGGTATGCATCAGACTGAGTGACTTCAAACCCTCACTGGGTGAGAGGGTGTTAGTGGAAGCATCCTCTTCACTCCTCACCATCCTCATAATAGCTGATGAACTTTTGTTACAGAACAGACTGCAGTTGGGGGGGTGCTGAACGATATAAAAGACCCTCCCTTTTTCTCCGGGGGTTCCTCCCCTATACTAGGTTTGGTTTGCCTGCCACCAGAGGAAAGATGTCTCTCAATGCCAGAGACAAGTGAAAAGGAAAGGAATTATTGTTCATTTAAAAGTTGTACAGACTAAAGTTCTTTGGAATACCCACAAATGCACACAGTCCCTCCTTCTCCCTCTGCCCAGTCTGAGGTACCATATCTCAGGAAAGAAGTAGCAGTCCTGAGGCTCCTGGCACCATGCATGTGGCAAAAAGGGAGCATTTCCAAAGCTGTGTGGTTCTGACTCTCGCCCAAACCCTGTGGTCTCCGAAAGATGCCAAATGGCTGCCGCGCCTGGGTTTAAATTCCCATGCCAATCTTCCTCTGCAGCCTCATTTCCGGCTCCTTCCACAGTTGGCCACAGCTGCCAGCATTCCAGGCAGGTGTGGCCCTGTGGTGCGGAGCCAATCATTTCCAAGCTCTTCTGGACCCCCATTACAAATTCCTATTTGGGGCCCCTCTCTGGGCTGCACCCTGTTACACTCTTACTACATGTCAGGCACCCTCTTTCTGGTTGCCTGACATTATTGTGTGTAAATGTCACCAGCTCAGGTGTGCAAGACATGTACCCTATTTTCTGTAACTCAGTTTCTATTTTGAGTCATCTTTCTGCCATGTGGCAAAACCCATTTCTCTTATTTTGAGCTTCATCTTCATTTCCCTGGGGTAGCATCTACATACCTGGGGATGGGATATTTCTTGGATGGCCAGTGCTTCATGCTGGCCCCTGTGGAGATGTCCATGCTCCGTCCAGCCCTCACATACCTATCTCCTAGATGCTATCAAAAGGCATTGTTAAGGTTGGTGCCGCCTGCCATTTCTGTACCCTGCCAGTGTGGAGGCTCATTCCTCTTCTGTACATAGCACAGGTTCCCGCACTTGAGCATGCAGCAGGGGTCACCCGCCGGGCAGGTTGTATCAGGTGCTGGGCTTCAACAATTTCTGATCACCAGTTTCTGATCCAGCAGGTCGGAGGTGGGTTCCAGGCTGGTATTTCTAACAAGGTCCAGTTAATGAGGATGCTGCTGGTTCTGGCCAACACCTTAAGAACCACTGTTCTAAATCATGCTGAGGCTTGGGAAACTCAGAGCATCTGCTACAGGTCTGTCGAGCTAAACACACCCTTAGTCCTGTCACCTGTTTCTCTCAGATAAAGAGGTCCCATGTCACTGGCCTCTGCTTCAGATCTCTCAACCCCCAAAATATCTAGAGGTTATTTTTTTATTTACATCTTTCCTACTATTTATGGCAGTTGTTCCCAAGCCTGTGTATTGGAATCACCTGGAAAATTTTGACAACTACTAATGTCAAGGTCCCCTCCCTCCCCCATCTCAGAGCCCAATCTAATTGGTGGGGATGTAGCCTTGGCATTGAGGCTTTAGAAAGCTTCCCCAGGTGAGCCTAAAGTGCAGACAAGGTTGAAAACTACTACTTGTGGACAGCTGTTCTCCAAGTGTGGTCCAGGCAAGCATCAGCATAACCTGGGAACTTGTTAGTTATGCAGACTCTCAGGCCCCACCCCAGAGATCCCAAATCAGAGTCTCTGGAAGGGGACCCATCAATGTGTGATTGAATAAGCCTTCCTGGTGATTCTGATCAAGGGGGTCAGGCTGGTTGGGGAAAAGAATAAGGCTCTGCAATCTTCTTAGCTATTGGCACTTGTGCTCTACTTTTCCCATTTCCTGGGACTGGAAAATCTTCTTGTCTAAGGAAAAGGGAAGACAGGCTCTTCTGTCATTCTGCATTGTCCTAAAGCTATTATGCTGTCTCCACACACTCCTTGGGGGCAGAAGAATGGTGTAGACTCTTATCTAGCTGCATGGATGTAGGAAGTGCTTTGAAGCAAAAAAATATATATTGCTTGATATTTCACAAATTATTCCCCACATAACCCCTCATGGTAGGTGGTTGTAGGTATTCTAGGAGCCTGAGGCTCAAGAGTTTAAGTTATTTGCCTAGATTCTAAATGCGAGGAGTACTTTTGATTCCAGAACTTGAAGTGTTATAAAGTGTCCTGCTCTCTCATCTGGCCCAACCTCAAAGCTGTTCCTGTCTGTTCTTAGGACTGTGGGCTGTGATCAACAATGCTGGAATCCTTAGCTTACCTGCTGATGGGGAGCTCATTCCCATGAGCCACTACAAGCAATGTATGGCTGTGAACTTCTTTGGGGCTGTGGAAGTCACAAAGGCATTTTTGCCTCTTCTTAGGAAATCCAAGGGGAGGCTGGTGAACGTCAGCAGCATGGCAGGTGAGTTGGCCTTTCCCCTCAAGGTTGTGCAGTGCCCATCATGCGGGACGTGGCTAGTTGCATTCTTTGTGGGCTCAGTAAGAAAGCAGGACATGCTCAAGCACGACTGGGTTAAGATTAGTCAAACTGTATGTTTACTGTTGATCTTAGCACAATGAAACCTTTCTCTCCTTTCAAATCTTTTCATGTACAGACTCTAACATACCTTCTAACCTATCTATTCATTACTGGGGATTTCGGGTTGTTGCCTACTTTCACAACAGGACTGCCAATGCACAAGCTTCCTACATCTGGACAGGAGATCCAGCACACAGTTAACGTCAGCATTACAGGTAGCCTCTTTTCAAACTTCCCTAACCTCAGCAACCTTTTTGCTCCCTGTGGGGTGAGTTGGCAAATGTCTTCATCCTTTGGGGACTGTCAGAGCCCCATGTCTCAGTTGGCCGCTTGCTAGTATTTTCCATACAATCCTCTGCATCATTTTGTAATAGTGACCATTGGATGAGAGTGAGACATTTGATGACTTATTTCTCTCCATGTCAAAGAACAGATAGTCAACAATTTGAGCCGACCTCCCTTTCATAACAATGCCCATGTATGTGACATCACACATGTACAATAAAAGATGTTATCTTGGAATGCTTAGAAGGCCTGGGACAGAGTGTGACTCAATATGAATAGCCAATGCTGGGTATGAAGGCCATTCCCACAGTTGGTTTTTTTTTTGTGGTGGTGGGGGGAGGTGAAGGGGATGGAAGGTAGGGAGGAAGAATAGAGGCACCAACAACCCAGGAGTATCACTTTACTCTTGCTACTGTGAAAAATTTAGAGACTAAATGTTAGAAATTTGCCTCACAGTTCTAAAGGTGAGAAGTCTCACTGGACTAGAATCAAGGTGTTAGCAGGGCTGCATTCCTTCCAGAATCCCTAAGGGAGGATCAGGTCTCTGATTTTTCCAGCTTCTAGAAGCCACCTGCATTCCTTGGCTCATGGCCTCTTCCTCTATCTTCCAATTTCTCCTTGACTCTGACACTCTTGCCTTGCTCTTATAAGGATTGGGGTAGGAGAGAAACATTGCTTCTTCACATTGTGAATACATTCTTCTCTCCCATATTTCCCATCCCTAAAGAGAGGAACAAGAAACAGAAAGAGTGAAAGAGACATCAAGTAGAATTGGGTTTCAAAAAGGAGGAGAACCCTGGCAGGGTGGCTTAGTTGGTCTGAGTGTTGTCCTTTGCACCAAAAGGTTGTGGGTTAAATTCCCAGTCGGGGCACATAACTAGGCTGCGGGTTCCATTCTTGGTTGGGGACGTATAGGAGGCAACTAATCAATGTTTCTCTCTGTCTATTTCTCCCCCTTCCTCTCTCTCAAATCAATAAACACCCTCAGGTGAGGATATAAAAAAAATTTTAGGAAGCCAACCAAACATAGTGGAGATAAACTGCCACTTTATGATCCTGTTTTTACAACTAATGACAGAGTGACCCAGAACAAAGTCCTGATGCCCTGAGTGGCAGCTTCTTCAATTTCACCATGGGGATAATAATTGCTTCTTAGCATTGTGGTGAGATAAGATGAAATTACATGTATTTAAGCATCAGCCACATCCAACATACAGTGAGTTAGAGACCCGAAAGCTATCCTCCATGACATCTGGGGAATAGGGTGGCTATATGTGCATCTGTGGCTTTTTGTCCTGCCAACTGCTGGCATCGCCACCCCCCTGATGGTGACAATGAGTTACTGCGAAGCCTGCTTCTTGCTACTTGTCACACACTAGCCCCTGCCAGATTACTACTTTCAGAGTCGACCATACTTTCTCTGGTAGAACTTTATCTCCTGTAATCATGTTTATTGCCCTTACCCCAGTAATAGAATAATAGCTCTTTAACCCAAATCCTGGTGAGGAAGGCACTTAGATAAATATTTAACCAAGGTAGAGGGGAATTTGGAGGTAATTCTTAGACTGATTACACAAAGGGCACTTGAAAAATCTTCATGTTTGAGAGATCTAAAAGCTTTTTCTTGCCAGCTGGCCTCTTAAAAAGTTGCTGAGTAAAACCTGTGTACGCACAGTTGCAAGCTTGCCTTGAATGAGAATGGTTGAAAACAAACCTTACGAAACAACTCAGGCCTTAGGGCTTTTGAGCCAGCTGTGGTTTGAATCCTGTTCTATGACTGGCTGGGTGATCTGGGTCAGGTCACCTCACTTGTCTATGCATCCATGATAATGATAAGGTGACCCAGCACCTGAGTCTAGAGCAAATGTTTCATAATCTCAGCCTTATTGATATTTGGGGAAGGCTAATGTCCTTGTTGGGGGGGTGGTGGTTGTCCAATGCACTGTAGTATGTTTAGCCACATCTGTGTTCTTAACCCACTAAATGTAAGCAGCACCCACCTCCGTGGCTGATAAACCTTCAGACATTGCCACATGGGGGTGGTCTTCAGGCAAAATCACATCAAGCTGAGAACCTCTGACCTCGGCTGTAGATATAAATGCATTGATGGTTCTGAGTGTTTAGCATGGTTACTGTTTAAAATGCATTAAAATTACTTTACACCAAAGTAATTGGCCTTGGAGATTGTTACAAATCTATAAATTATCAGTATCTAGAAGAGTTCATGGTTCCAGTCTTGAGCCTGGTGTTACTTAGTCTAGAAAAGTTGATTTTGGATCATTCCTGGATTTTTTCTTGCTGAGTTGGCTGCCTTAAGGAAATTAATCATCTGGCAAATCATTCAGCTAGTCCCTCAGCTGCTCTGTGATATGAGAGGAAACCAAAGCTGAGTTACTTCCCTGAAACTCACACAATAGCCAGGGCTAGAGTAGGGCAAGTGAAAGAGAGTAGAACAAGATCAGGTAAACTTTTCTGTGCTAAATTATATTAGATGCTTGCACACCTAAAGTCATTTAATCCCAGGTCTGCAGAATGCAGGTATTAATACCTTTTCTATATCAAGCATACTCTGGCCTAGAATTATCCAGCTGGCAAGTACCCCTCTCCTCTCCTCTGAGGTTGGGTGGGACTGAAAGTTCCAACCCTATAGTCACACGGTTGGCCCCCTGGACAGCCAGCCCCCATCCTCACGTGAGTTCCAAGTCACCTCACCAACATTACTAAAGACAAATTCCTTGTTCTCATCACTTAGAAATTCCAAGGGTTGTAGGAGCTCAGTGCCAGAGACTTTAAAACCAAATATATATTTATTATAAATCAAAGTATCACACAATACCTATACAGCCTCAGGCTGGAAAGTTGCAGCATTTCTGCCCCCTGCTGAATTAATAGGGTATTCACTTGAAGAGCCCTATCCTTCCCATAATTTTTATCTAATCGTATGTTAGCTTTAGATTAGGAAAAAGAGAAATCTCTCTGTAGTGTTGATCATTATGGCTACCAGTTTTCTGAGGCCTTGTTTTACCTCCAAGGACAAGAATATTTGGCTGGTCGAACCTCAGAAAATGTTACTTCTTACATCTCACCAAGAGAGTCAGGCAAAGACCAGGTCTGGACCCACTGCAGGGGTGGGGAGGGTTTGGGTGAGTAGAGTGTTTCCACAATTCTTCTGCAAGCTCCAAAATTGTCACTTCAAGTATCCCTCAGTTTTAGCCCTGGCCAATGGTATACAATAACATTAAAGGAAAGGCAGTGACCACCAGAGTGATCAATGTGAATTCTGACTATACTCACTTGTCAGGAAATAAAGTCATTGAGTAGTTTCCCAGACTTAAAAAAAAAGAAGAAGAAGAAGAAGAAGAAGAAGAAAAGCTGGGTGGGAGAATGTGGTACCTTCTGGAAGGAGGATGCAGCAGAAGGGGGGAATGCTGCATTCATTGTGGCTACACTAAGTAAGGACAGATGGTCTGTAGTTAGGAAGGGTGGGAAGAAGGGTCCAGAGATCTAAATGTGGTTGGTTAGAACTCATCTGATTACTGACTGGGTATTCTGCTAGGTCACCCACTAATAGGTGAGCCCAAGTTCTGAGCTGTTTATCAACACTGGCTATTTAAAATCTATTTGGGGGAAACCTAGCATTCAATTTTGATATCTTCCTTAGCAAGTACTGCTCTAATAGTACAAAGTTTTACTTTGATGTCAGCCACATTGGTGTGATGGATGCATGAAGGATGGAGTGAGGGAAGGGGCATATCATCACTTCAAATTGGGTTGCAGATGTTTCTAAAGCTGTAGCTTGCCCTAGGGCCTTATCACATCTTTTAAAATGTCAAATAAGCCAGGCCTTGTTATTTTTGGCTTTCTATCCCAAAGTTCAAAAAGATGCAAATTTTTTGTTTTATTTACCAAAACTTAGGATACCCTACGACTTTTGTGCATCCAGATACCTACATGGGAGCTAGATAATTCACCCTCCTTAAGCATATCTTAAAGGGAGTATTTTTTAAACTTTTTATTTGGAAGTAATTATAGATTCACAGGGAGTTGCAAGGAAAATGTACGTGAAAATTCTGTCTACTGTTAACCCAGCTTTCCCTAATGATAACATCTTGCATAACTATCATACAACATCAAAACTATGTAACTGATATTGGTAGAATGCATAGACTGATATTCAAGTTTTACCAGTTAATTTGCGTTCATTTATGCATGTGTTTATAGATCTGTGCAATTTTATCACATGTGTAGCCTCCTGCAACTACTAACACAATCAAAATACAAAACTGTCATATCACTGCAAGAATCCCTGAGATAGCCCCTTATAGCCACAGCCATCCCCCACCTCCACTGCCTTCCTAACTTCTGGCAGCCATGAATCTATCCTCTACCTCTGTAATTTTATTTCAAGAATGTTAAATACATGGAATCATATAATATGTGGCCTTTGGAGACTAGCTTTCACTGAACATAACTTGAAAAGAATATATATACATATATTCTTTTGGAAAGGATATATTTTGACCAAAGCTTATACAACTCATAAACAAATCCCCTGAATCTTTAAGTCTTAGGTCAAGGATAAAACAGCACTGCCAGGTCACTATCCAACTCCTGAGATCCTGTGAACCTTCTATAACCGAAACTGAGAATTCTTTTGTTTGTTTGTTTTTCAGATCCTAATCTGTGTTAGCATTTACATGTCCAGAAGACAGAAATAATAAAAAAAATTTCAGGGTGTTCTTTAGAAATGCTAAACAACCCTGTCTGCACATTAGAATAACCAGGGAGAGCTTTAACCCCCCCCCCCCCCCCCGTGCCTGTGATTAGGCACCAATGAAATCATATTGGGGAGAGGAGAGGAATTGTTTTTTTTTTAAAGCTTCCCAGGAAATTCCATTATGCCACCCAGTTACTCTAAACAATTGCTCTAAACAATTGCTCTAAACAATTAGAGGTTCTCAAATTTGTGAGGGAGGAGTGGTAATCAGATTCACCTGGAGAATTGGAACCGCTGCAAAAAGTCAGGCTCTCTCCTCCTGGAGAGGACCCTGGGCCTCAGAGTGCTTCATTCATTCCTTCGGTAATTCTGATACTCACCCAGTCTGAGAACCATGCAGCCAGAACACCCTTCTTACAGTTTATATAAATACTGATGCCCTGACCCCACTGTCAGAGTTTTTTATTTCATTGGTCTAGGGTAGGACTTGGGCATTGGCATTTTTGAAAATGTTCTCAAGGTGATCCTACTGTGTTTACTGAGTTATGTACCACTGATCTGGAATTAAAAACAAAATTAAAACACACACACATATATATGTATATATGCTATTTTAAAATATATATTTATTCATCTCTCTGAGCACCCAAGCTATTGAGTTTCATTTAATGTCAGCCAGAGGATGGATGTGTACATTTCCAAAATGTGGCCTCCTTGGAGCAACATCAGGACATGTGCACTGTTAGTGAGATTATGACCCCCACACACTCTCAGGGCTCTGAATTCTTTACCAGTGCCCCAGGAGAGAAGCCCTCTCTATCTTGGAAGCCAAGTTTTCCCTGTTGAATTGCAAATGAACTTATCTGCTTCTGGCAATAGGATTTTAACTTGAATGGAACAAAGATGAAAATTAGAGAATCCAACTGGACAGATGATGAAGGGGTGCATAAGGCAAGGAAGGGAGAATGCCCTGAGGCCCTGTGGCTCTTGGACATCTACACGTATTTCATCTTATGCCACCAGGGATAGTAGACACTAATATAAGCCATTAACAGCAAGGTTGGCTCTATGAGGTTGAATCCTACAGAACTGCCATTTTGTAGGTCAAAAATGGTCTAATAGCAATTTCACAGGGTTCAACACAATACGCAAGATGAATGTGTCTTCAATGTTTGCTCCAAAGCATGTTCTCTGTTTCAATGAATAATGGTTGATATGGTAAATTCTCACCACCTGCCATACCATCCGTAAGGCAGTACATCACCATGAAAGCACATATTCAGAAATATGTGATAAAAACCCTAATGTAATAGTTTAAGATTTAGTATTCAAACAAATTATGGGAATTGGTTTTCAATGCAGATTATGATCCAGTAGGTCCTAGTAATCCACATAATAAACAAGTATCATGGGACATACTGAGCAGGTGCAGTTATTACCCTAAGAAACACAGAGCCTTTGGGCTACTGAGATGTTATGAAAATCTTGAGTAACACAAATAATAGAAAGCTCTTATATAGAGCTTACTTTGTGCCAAGCACTATTCTAATATATTAACTTATTTAATTGTATCAATAACCCTATGATGCATGTACAAATGTTATTCTTAATTAACAGGTTAAAATAGAGGAGTATAAACATAAAGTGATTTTCCTAACTTTAATTGATTTTACTAAGTAATGGCAGAGCTGGGGCTTGAACACAGTGCTGGTTCCAGAATCCCACTTGTAACTGCAGCCTCTACTAACCAGTCTCCTAGCTGGCTGCTCAGCTATAAAAACCCCGGAGAAGTGAGAACAGGTGAACCGTACAAGTGGGGTTGCCACTTTAAACAAGTTGCTTGCTTTAAGTTCTTTGGCCTTTCCCAGAGTTGGATTTGGAACTCTTAAGATTTTGTGAAATTAAAAATTACGTTAAAAAGAATCAACTAGTCGTCTGTGGCACTGCTTAATATTTGATACCGGATGCTTTACTGAAATGTCATTAGTTAAGCCTCAGGCCTCAGGTTTCTTCCTTTTAAGAGATAGAATCAAACCTCAAAGTAGCTTAAACAAAACAAAAACAAAAAAAATAAATGTATTAGTTCACCAACTGGCTTGGGCCAAGTTTTAAGTTGGGATCATTATAACTCTCCCTTATATCCTAGCCTGCCGACCCCCAACCCTACACCTTCCGCCCCCCCCCCCCCGCTGTCAGCTTTCTGCTGTTTGCCCCTCTGCTTTCCTTTGCCAACCCTATGTGGTGGCAAAAATAGCCTCTGGGGGTTCCTTTGTTTCATCATTATCACACTTAAGTGGCCAGGAGAATATTTAAAAACCACCACCAAATATATCAGGACTCTGGCTCAGCTGAAGTTACATGCCCAGCCCCAACCCAATCCCCACCTCCAGGGGATGAGGTATTTGATTGGCAGGTCTGCCTGTCTGAATGAGAAAGACAGAACCATTGACTAGACAGCCTTCCTCCAAAGGCAGGAAGGTAAGGATGAGCTCAGGCACACCTCTGTTTATTTTGATTTGCTTTATTGCACTTCACAGGTGTGTTTTTTACATATTGAAAGTAAGACCTCCTGCCAGCAAAAAAGATAATGCCTGGGTTTATGGCAATATTCGTTTTATTGAAGGTAGGGTATCTGGAACTGAACTCACAGTATCTTTGAGATATGCCTGTATTTCCCAAAAGGAAATTATGTGCGCCAGGCCAAAGCTCTAATAATAACGTAAGAAGAATGGTGATAATTGATATTCATTATTCCATGTGTCTCTACTTCAATGCCTATGTTCTTCCCCACCCCCAAATTTGATTGATGTGTAGTTGACATATAACATTATATTAGTTTAAGGTGTACGATATAATTATTTGAGATATGTATACATTATGAAATGATTATCACAATGAGGATAGTTAACATCTATCGCCTCACATAATTACACATTTTTTCTTGTGATGATAATTTTTTTAAGACTTGCATTTTACAACTTTCTTATATACAATATAGTATTAGCCATGACCACTTATGCAGTACAGTAGGTCCTTAAATAATAAAGCAGCTGTTTCATTCAACTAGTTTCATTAAAATGGTGCTCAGATGCTCTTGTTTATATTAATTGACCTATAGTAAAATTGGTTTTGTTATACCTCTTTTCCTTAAGTTGGAGCCTGTCAGTGATGGTAAGGGCTTATTGTATATTACACCCCCAACTTTATTCATGTTATAACTGTAAGTTTACATCTTTGACCACCTTCCCCCATTTTGCCCCATAAAATATTTCCAGCACTGAGAAGCTACCATGTGATCCTGTCCCATCAACCCCCACCCCCTGGAAACCACCAATCTGTTCTCTTTGTCTATTATTTTGGTTTTTTAGGTTCCACATATGAATAAGATCATACAATATTTGTCTTTCTCTCTCTGATTTATTTCTCTTAGCATAATGCCCTCAAGGCTTTCAAGGTACATTCATGTTGTGGCAAATGGCAAGATTTCCTATGTTTTTTATGGCTAAATAATATGCCTTTGCATATATTGTATCACATTTTCTTTATTCTTTCAACTGTTGATGAATATTTTGATTGCTTCCATTTCTTGGCTATTGTAAATAATATTGCAGTGAACATGGCAGTAAAGATACTGTGCTTTTTTTTCATTGAAATTTTTATTAACATCATTGTAGATTTACTAAGGTTGTAAGAAGAAGTAAGAGAGATCTTATGTATGATTTATCCATTTTCCTTCAATGGTAGAATTTTGCAAGACTAAGCATCCTGATAATGATATAATCCACCAATTTTATTCAGATTTTCCAAGTTTTACTTCTATTTGCATGTATATTTTGTTTCATACATTTCATCATCTCATTGTCTTTTTAATTATGCACTAAGTATTTACCTGCTGTGAGGCAGGGGGGGGAGTAGAAAGAGAGACAAGGCTGTTTTGGGGGATGATGGACATGTTCACTATCTTGATTGAGTATCTTGATTGAGTGGGGATGGTTTCCTGAGTACATGCATATGCCTAAATTTATCAGACTGTGTACTTTAAGTATGAGTAGTTTATTGCATATATACTCAGTTAAAAAATTTTTATTTTTAAATGGAACCACCTGGCTTCAAGAGTCCATAGACATTTCAGCAAATGCCAGACATGGGTTGCTCTGCCTAAAATCTCCAGGACATTTGTGCAACTATCTAGGTTTGGAAGGAAGACCTCCAGTTCTCCCTGGTCTTACCTTTCCGTGCTTCCCAGTTCTACCAGCTTTTCCAGCCTTTGGCGATTCTCATGACTAGGTTTGCACATGTGCTTGTCTTTGTTCTTTTAACTTTTTAGTTGGGCATGCTTCATCCATGGGAGAACATCTATTTTGCCTGAATCCCACCTCTATCCAAAAGTTAAAGTTTTCAGTCAGAGCATTGGAAACCACAGCATATGTCTCATGCCCATATCTGATGTTTATTAAGGATCATTTATCAAGGGACTCTTAAGTCATCACCATACATGAAAACATCAGACATGATTTTTTTTCTCCCATTATTTCCATAGGAGAAATACCATTTTTAAAGCTGGCGGCCTATGGCTCATCCAAGGCAGCTCTGACCATGTTTTCGGCAATCATGAGACAAGAGCTTGCCAAATGGGAAGTTAAAGTCTCTATCATCCAGCCTGGAGGCTTCAAAACAAGTAGGTGTCTGAGCCTAAGACCCTTGCAATGTTCTTCCACAGAGGGATGCTGAAAGTCCTTTGTTCTGTTCAAACTGAACGCTGCCTTGAGGTCAACTAAAGAGGGGTTGGTATGGATGGGCCACTTTTAAGACTAGAGAGGCAAGTCCTAGGTTCTTTTCAATCTATGTTTGCTCCCCTGCATTCTTCCTCATAGGAATTAACTTTTGATGTCATGTCTTTTTAAACACCACCTCCTCCTCTCTGAGGAATGTGACCCACCTGTTTCCTTACCTGGGAAGGGGTGCCTATCCTCTCCTCCCTGAATTTCTGAAGTGGGGACAGATGCAGACCACCCCTACTGCTTAGTGCTTAGTTCTGGGCCATCAAACATTTAACTGGTGATTGACGTAAGGATATAAAAAAGCCTGTCTAATAAAACACCACAAACTGGGAGGCATTGCTAACATACTAAAGAACAAACCTTAGAGGTTTGACTATTCACTGAAATTGTTATGTCTAACATTTTGGGGGAGCTGCTCTTCTTAGATACTAGCTACTTCCTACATATTCTTTCCTGATGTTTTGATGTTATTTATTTCTTAATTGAAAAGTATATCAAATACACACATAGTTTAACAGATTATTATAAAACTCATGTTTTTAGCATCCAGATCAAAAATAAAGTATTTTCAGCACCCAGAAGCTACCATGTGATCCTGTCCCATCATAGCCTTCTCCCACCCCCAAATGTGCCCACTCTATAATGTTTTGTAATAATCTTTTATTTGTTTTTCTTTACAATTTCACATCCATACATGCATCTCCAAACAATAGAGTGTGGCTGTACTCATTTTTGAACTTCAAATGGAATCAACATGTTTGAATTTTAATGTGTCTGACTTTTTTCACTCAATATTGTTTCCATAGTTTATCTATGTTATGTGCTGCTATTGTTCATTTATTTTCACTGCTGTATTATATTCTGTGAATATGCCATGATCTTTCTGCAGTTGGTGAGATATTTGGGTCACTTTTGGACAATTATGAAGAATTCCTCTGTGAACTTTCAGTCACACGTACTGTGGAGTATGTGGTTTTTCCTATGGCACATGCCCAGGAGTAGAATGACTGGGTCACAGAGTTTAATTATCTCCAACTTTACCAAATAATACCAAAGTTTTTTTCTAAGATATTGCTTTTATTTATAGCCTCACCCTTTTCATATATGTCTTAGTTTGCACCACAGTTCTGCGGGGTAGTTTTAATTGACGTAATTCTCCAGGTGAGGACACTGAGATGAGGTGGGTAATATACACCTGGTATGGGCACACCACGGTGGTGGGGAATTTAAAATCAAATCCTAAAATGTGGTGCTGGATTCTTTTATACCAGACTAACCTCAATTGAAAACTGATATTTGATGGGCTCTCTGAAGGCAAAAAATTAGCCAATGGAAGGCTGAGGACTCAAGTTTGCAGTCCAATGCTTGAAGGTGGGGGCGAGAATAAAAATCCTCGGGGACACAAAGAATTTCTGAAGGCATTCAAGGAGACACACCAGATTTTTTAGTACCTGCAATACAAATACCTAAAACAGATTACATGCTTAGCAGGTTTTAAGCACCTGACATGCACAATCTCACTTAACCCTATGAGGTAGGTATTATAATAATCACATTTTATAGAGAAGAAACTGATGCTCAGAGAAGTTAAGAATTTTCCCAAGCTACAGAGCTTATATAAGGAAGGCAATATGAGACAGAGATGGGTTGTAAACTGAGATAGTTTTAACAATTGTGTGTAGCCCAAAGTGGCAGGAGATGAGTGGGTGTGCGTCAAAAGTGGCAGATGAAGGTTTACAAAGGGCTAGTGGCTTTGATACCAATAAAGAGAGCTTTGGGGAGTTTAGATAGGGTCTGCACAAGAGTGGTTAGAAAGTCCCTGAGGTATTTAAAGAGGAAATGTAAAGGGAAAGGAACCCCCTCTCCTGTGAAACCAGGGATTGGAGGAGAGGTAGTTGGAGGAATAATAGTTCATGCAAACATTTCTCATGACCCAGACACCTCCAGAATAATTGTGAGGGTAATCATTTCTTTAAATGTGGCATGTGCCTTCATAAAAAGAAATGAGCAATTGAAACCATGTTTACATTCCTATGAGTATAATTGGATTCCACTGGCTTACATTTCGCAGTGAGACTCCCCCACAGTCCTGATATTGGGGTGTTGATTGAGTTCACAAACAAAGGCTCATCCCCACAGCAACCCTGAGCAGTCACATACTTTGCAGGAGGGAGCATGAGTTGCTGCAATCTTCCTGGAAGAAAAAAAATCTGACAGGAGCTATTAAAATTTAAAACGCATGTGCCTTTTGACCAGGCAGCCACACTCTGGGGACTATAACCTACAGACATTAAGTTCCGAGATACAAAAGGATATAATATGCAAGGCAGTTTACAGCGAAGCCACCTAAAATGGTGAAACCTAGGAAGGATTGGAAAGCCCTTTGATAGAGGTCGACTCTATCAAAGAGGTTGATATGTGGTTGACTAAAAGCTCATCAATGGAAAATTCTGCAGCTCTGGTCTCCATCTGTAGCCATTGATCATGGGGCAAAAACAAACAAACAAACAAACAAACATGAAAGCAACCTCCTAGAAAAAATACACAGTATGGCCCTTTTTATTTTTTGTTTGTTTCTGGTAAGAATTGACCCAAAGACTTGTATGTGCATATATGTTTGTATGAACAAGGGGGAAATGTAGAAAGGTACACAAAACTGTAGATGGAGGAGACTGATTTTAAAAACATATACATCTTCTTATTATTCACCCATTCAAGTATGTGCACACATATTTTATATAGACTAGGTATTACAGTGTGTACATTATATTTTATATTTTATATAATAGTCATGAAAAGATATGTGCTGGAGCATTCATGACAGCACACTTTCTAAGCACTCCAAATTGAAAATAACCCAAATGTCCATCACAGTATGCCGATGGATAAACAGTTTAGGGCATATTTATACAAAACTATGCAGCTGTGATAATGACCACATGATATCATGGATGAATCTCTCACATCATTCATGATTCCATGTATACAATGTCCAAAGCCAGGCAAAACTACTCTGTTCTGTTTATCAGGACAGTGGGTCCTGGGAGGGGGGATGAGAATGGAGGGTTGAGGATGGTTTGTCCTTTTCTTGATCTGGTTGCTGGTTACGTGGGCTATTCAGTTTGTGAAAACCCAGTCACCTGTGCAGTTTCCTGTTAAAAATATAATAAACACCATTATAAAGCACATTTTTGAGAAGTTGTTTGGGAATGTTGGTCCTTCTCAACAGAAGCCAATTCATAAGGGCCTGCTTCCCCTTAGGGGTCTGCCGTGCTAGTTGGGGTCTTCCCAGCATCTGAGCCTCCCTTTCCTCTGCCATCCCAGATATCACAGGTACGAGGGAAATGCTGGAAAAGCTGGAGAAAGACATGCTGGACTACCTCACCCCTGATGTGCAAGAGGAGTACGGCCAGGACTATATCCTTGCGCAACGGAGATTTCTCACCTCTTTACATGTACACTCCAGCTCTGACATATCCCCTGTGCTCCTGGACATCCAGCACGCCATCTCTGCTAAGAGCCCCTCTACCTTGTATACACCGGGGCCAGGCACTTACTTGTGGCTCTGCTTTTTTAACTTTTCCCCGACTAGCATATTTGATTATTTTAACAAAAAATTTTTTAACTCTGACGTTAGTATGCCTAGAACACTAAGCATGCCTAACCAGAAGAATGAAGTCATGTAGGCAAATAACTGGGAAATGTAACCTTGGAGTGAAAGGGAAACCAGAGCTCACCATTAAAGTTGAGGTTTCCTACCTTGCATTTCCTGTGAACTTTGTTTGTTGAATGGGACCTACTGGTGAGAAGGCTGGAAGGTAGAAATGCCCACCATGAAGAGCGTTGAGTACCAACTCTGCACTAGATACATTTCAGATATTCTCTCATCTAGTTCTCATCAGAGAACCAAGGTAGGTATCTTCACCTCCACTTCTTGGGTAAGGGAATTAAGGACCATAGAGGCTAAGTTCCTAGTTCATTATCACATTGTTAGCAAAAGGCAGAGCTAGAATGGAAATCCAGGTTGGACTCTACTATCCAATACAAGGAAAGTGAAACAGATGAAAGAAAGAGAGAGAGAGAGAGAGAGAGAAAAGGGAGGAGAGGAGGATGAAGTGTCATGGGCTAGAGTCAAACTGAGTCTTTCTCAATGTGCACTGATATCCCACAACAACTATTGTATTTCATTCAAGGTATTAGGGTTATTGTAGATAATCAGTGCCCTGTGCACCTCCCCTCCCTTCCTCTACCAGGGGCCCTGGAGATGATATGACCAGGTCTCTTATCTCAAGCAAAGCCCCAGAGGCCTTTTGGCAGACCCAGGTTGTGCGACTGACTGGTTGGTATCCATCCTCGTCACCTGCACCTGAGCACCCCAGAATGGAAAGCCAGCATTATTATTTGGAGAAAACTGGCTGAAGGGAGCTATGCCAGTTACTTTGAGAGGTGTTGCCAAGTTCACCTCATAGGCAAAAGGGGAGGAGCTGGTGAACAGAGGGGGCATAAAAGGAATTAGAGAAAATGTCAGCTTGATATGAGGCAAGCAGAGTCCAGACATCTTGCTCACAGCAAACCTCTGTCTGTCCCATTTCCTTTTGGGAATGTGCAGGTTCTTTTTCTATTTTCCAACGTCATGGAAATTTGGGGAGAGTAGATAAACTGACAGTGCTCTAAAGTACAATAATAAGTACCAATATAGTGAGATAAACAGAAAATTATTAGTATCTTTTACATTTTATTTTTCAATTACATGTTACATTCAATATTTTTATATTAATTTCAGATGTACAACATAATGGTTAGAAAATCATGTGTTTTATAGAGCGGTCCCCCGATGTTTCAAGTACCTGCCTGGCCCATACATAGCTATTACGATATTACTGACTATATTCCCTATGCCATATTTTTACATCCCTGTGACTATTCTGTAACAACCAATTTGTACTTGTTAATCCCTTCACCTTTTCCACCTAGCCCCCAACCCCCCACCCCTCTGACAACTAACTGTCCATCTGTTCTCTAATTCAATACATTTTTAATGGCTGGTAATGGCAACTGCCCAGAGGTTCTCCACCATTACTTTAGGACAAAACAAAAAGAAAAGAAAAAAATCAAATTAAGCATTGTATTCCAACATAGGCACTTCTTGGAAATAAGAATTGTCAAGGCCATCACTTCTGGTTATAGGGTTCAGACACTGAGAGGGCGAAGGATGTGTGGAACCTGCAGTCCAGGGTTCGGAGGGGGACTGAGGACTGTGTGTTTTATGATATGCCAGTGGTTCTCAGAGTGTGGTCCCTCCACCTGCAGCATCAGCATCACTTGAGAACCTATTAGACATGCAGTTTCTCAGGAGCCAACCCTACTGCATTTCAGGTTCCTCTGGCTGCTATAACATATTACCAATAACTCAGCAGCTTAAAACAACATACATTTATTATCTTACAGTTCTGGAGGTCAGAATTCTGAAATGAATCTCACTGGACGAAAATCAAGTTAGCAGAGCTTGTTCCTTCTGAAGGCTCCAGGGGAGAATTCATCATTTCTTGCGTTTTCCAGCTTCCAAGGGCCTCCGTATCCCTTTGCTTGCACCTGTGTTACTCTGTCTGCTTCCACACTCTCATCTCCTTCTCTGACTTTGATGCTCCTGCCTCTTTTTTTATAAGAACCCTTGTGATTATATTGGCCCACCCAGATAACCCAGAATGATCTCCTCATTTTAAAATCCTTAATTTAATCATGTCAGCATAGTTCCTTCTACTGTGTGAGGTTACATATTCACAGGTTCTGGGGACTCCTGTGCTACTGTCATTACTAGGGAACATTATTTTACTGACTCATCTAATGAATTGGAAATTCTGAGGGTGAGCCCAGCAATTTGGGGGAGGGCATAAGGAGCCCTCCAGGTGATCCAGAGCCAAGTTTGAGAACCTCAGCTCTAAGGTATAAAGTAAGCAGACCGGGCCACAGGAGAAGCAGGAGAGGTCTTTGAGGACAGTCGGGGAGAGGACATTAGGCTGAGGCCTGAGTGTGGGGCCTACTTGCTGTTCTACAGCCTCTAGGTGTTGAAAACTCTCAGGCATGGGCAGAAGGTACTGAACAGAGACTCAGATAAGTCTGAGAATTAGTATCAGAGAAGCTGCTGACTGGTTTCTGCAGGAGTGCTTCCACACACTCTTTGGGTTATCTTGGAGGAGAAGAAACCACAGGGTGGCCTGTGTTTGCCACAGGAAGATGGACAGCTTCTCACTATCATTCCCATTATGACTCCCTATGACTAGGGGTTTGGGTTGGAGTGGGGAGGTCTGGAAATGCCATTGAGTCTCCTGAAAAAAAAACAAGGAAAAATTCTGTTAATGAACAATATGGGTACCTGAGAGGTGAATGGGAGAATGGTGTAACAAAGGCAATCCAGAGGGTGGCCTTGAATTTGGGGGCTGAATTAAGGATGAGACATTCCACTGGAATCCATTAGAGTCAAGAGAGTGCTACTTCCCTGGTGCTAGGAAAAAATACCAGGCCCTAGGAACTCAGAGTCTGAGGAAAAGGGCAAGAAAAAAAGAGAAAGAGGTAGAGGTGGGTATTGAATTCCATGGCACATTCATTTGGAAGATCCAGTTGTAAATCAGAATAGACCAAGTTACCTGAAAGTACTAATAAGCATTCAAATATATTTCATTTTTAGCAAATACCTATTGAGTCTCAGATAACAAGGGACAGGTATTACTGACTGAACACTTCCATACCTTGACCATGTCTGTACAGTAATTGATGTTCCTTGTTTAGAAACCAGTAAGAGCTAATGACAGAGGGAACCCCCCAGTACACCTACAATTTATTGAATTCTTGGGGGAAGACACGAGGAGCAGGTGATTCAAAAACAGGACTTATGGCAAAAAGTATTGTATCTCCCTCCTTGCAACCCAGTCCTGATGTTCTACTCAAGGGCAGGATGCAAGGTACATTTAATACCTGGCCACACAATATCACATGCAAATCCCATGCAAAACCCCACCCATTCCTCTTTATCTCTTCCTTTTCTGCATTTCCCCAGGGGTGGCAGTAGGAAAGTGGGCCATCCTCACAATAGACCCAGGATAACAGGGAGAAATCAGGAAAAGCATCCAGCGAAAATATAATTTTTTTTACTACATAGGGAGCTAATAAAGGCCTAAAATAAACTTTACTATTTTATTAGAATGGAACATGACATTTTTTCAGTTTCATCATACTGGTGAAAAAGACTGTTTTAGAATGCCATTCTGGATAGTGTAATTCTGAAGAAGAGTAATACCATAATGGGGTAATATTACCTCCTGATCAGTAATAGTCCCCAGTCTAGTGCTCACACAGTAGTGTCCACTCAGGGGTAGGACCCTCAGACCCTTGCTCTGGAGTGGCTCAAATTAGTGTTTCTCTAACAATTTGTTTCATAAGCCAGTATTTCCCTCAGGTATCTCAGGTGCATGGATGGTCACGGCAGGACTAGATGGGTGTTTCTGAGTCCCAGCTCAATACCCAGCTCAGAATTACACATCAAGAAATAAGAAACAAAGGGAAGGAAAAGAGATTGGAATCTAATTTGAAGATTTAAAATAAGGAGATCTCAATGTGTTTGTAGTCTAAAGTTGCTTACTTTTTTGCCTGCCTAGCATTTGCTGGGGGTGGGTTTGGTAAGACTGTCATTCAAGTAATCCACCACCATAAGAGCGGGCATGTGATCCAGGCTGGCTAATCAATTTATACCCTGGGCTCTAATGATTGGTTCAGTTATGGGCACATGACCCACAAGGAACCGATCATGACTCCCAATGTTGGGAGGATTACTAATGGGCACTGAGAGAAAAAGGGTATTTATAATGACCATAGTAAACTGAAGCTTCTAGAGCCCACCAGAAAGAGAGTCTGGTAGAGAATGAAGCCATGATAGAAGCAAATGGAGCAGAATAATAAGGAAAATGAAGGTTTGATGATGTAGTTTGATCTCTTTCATCTAGCTATAATTACAAATCTACCATTTGGACTGAATTTTAAGTTATGTGAGCCAATACCTTTCCTTTAAACTATTTTAAGGTGGGTTTCCATCTTTCGCAATAGAGTTAATTACTGACAAATATGCACTGTAGGGAAGGGTTCAGTGAAGAATGAGGAATAACATAATGCTTGACAGAAAAAAATAGTCAAGGCAGCAATGTCCTAGGGGAGAAAGAGAGAGATGAGACTAAAGATGACAGGATATTAGGATGGGTGACATTATTATTAAATATCTCTCTTTTACAGAAAAGTCATTTTTTAGTTAATATTTCTTTAGGGGATTTATCCCCAAAATCTGTGAGCATGGTTCTTCTGAAATAATGTGAGACAAAATCCTTACTGAGCCCCAGGGTGGAAACAAAAGTTCAGATGATCTCTGGCAATTCTAGATTCTGAGTCATGCTTGAATGGGATAACTGTGTGTAGTATACTGCATCTAGCATGGTAGAATGTTCTGTCTTGGGTCATTAAAAAACTTTTTTACCCTATTGCAAAATATGAAGATGACTAAAGTGAGAATCCCAGCTGTGGGAAACAAGAAGACCAACAAGCAAACTAAAGGATTTTGTGCTGAATTATTTGTTCTTCTTATGTCATTCCATCCATATAATGGTGTTCTGGCCCTAGGTAATTGCCCCAGAAATTTTACCACAGATATATTTTTTTGTTTAGCTTCCCTTCCTGTTCTTCCTCCTATTTTGATAATAGGGAATGATTCACTGATGGATG